AGGAGCTCAGAAGACAGCTTGAGACCCTGACCAGCAAGGAATGGATCAGACCCAACACATCTGAATTCGGTGCACCTGTTTTCTTTGTACCCAAAGGGAATGGCGAGTTCAGAATGTGCATTGACTACAGGGGTCTCAACAAGATCACTAGGAAGAGTCCAGAGCCACTTCCTAGGATCGATGACCTTCTGGATATGGTGCAGGGCTGCACAGTGTTCAGCAAAGTCGATCTCAAATCTGGCTACCACCAGATTGAGATGGCAGAGGAGGATGTCTACAAGACAGCCTTCAAGACCAGGTATGGGGCTTACGAGTTCCTGGTCATGCCATTCGGACTTTGCAATTCCCCTAGGACCTTCCAGACAGAGATGCACCGCATCTTCAAGCCTTACCTGGACAAGTTTATGGTTGTCTACCTGGATGATATCCTGGTATTCAGCAAAACTGCCAGGGAACATGCGGAGCACTTGGCTTTGGTCCTTCAGTCGTTACGTGACAGCCAGCACAAGATCAACAGAGAGAAGTTCTCCTTTGGAGTTCCCTCTGTCATCTATCTGGGTCATGTAATCTCTGGAGATGGCCTGGCTCCTGAAGCAGGCAAGATTGCTGCTATTCAGGAGTGACCTCAGCCACAGACAGTGAGGGATGTCAGGTCCTTCATGGGTCTAGCCTCATACTATAGAAAGTTTGTCAGGAACTTTTCTGCAGGGTCCCTTCCCTGTCAGTTGGCCTTCACACGACTCAAGAAGGCCGTGACTCGTGCGCCAGTGCTGAAGTTACCTGACCCCACTCTGCCATTTATCCTGACCACTGACGCTAGTCAGTATGGCATTGGGGCAGTTCTTCCGTAGGATGATGGGAATGGTCTATGGCCTGTAGAGTTTATGAGTAAGAAAATCAAGACTCAAAAGCTCCAGGACTCCACCTACGAGAAAGAGTCATATGCTCTTGTCTGTGCCCTGAAACACTGGAAACACTTTCTCCTGGGAAGGCACTTCAAGATCTTCTCAGATCACTCCACCCTTCAGTGGATGAAGTCCCAGGGAGAGTTGAACGATAAATTGGCACGGTACATTCAGTTCATAGACATGTTTGACTTTGAACTGAAGCATAAGAAGGGCTGCTACAACAAGGTAGCAGATGCCCTCTCTCGTAGGCCTGACTCTTTTGCTCTAATCTCCTCTACTCACTCCTTTGGAGAGGAGACCCGTCAGACCATTGCTCGTCTACTCCCTCAGGATGAGACTTTCGGACCCATCGTCAGGAATCTGCAAGCAGATCCTAATTCTGAACCAGGCTATGCGCTGAGTTCAGAACTGCTGTATACTTACAGCAGAGGGGAGGAGCGCTTGTGCATTCCCCAGGACCAACGGCTCAGGACACTACTGATGTCAGAGTGTCATGATGCCCATGGACATTCTGGGTTCCTAAAGTCTTATGCAGCCCTGTCGCAGCGCTTCTTCTGGAAGGAGATGCGGAGTGATATGCTGCGCTATGTGGACACCTGTGAGCTCTGCCAAAGGAATAAGGTCCATCGTAGACCTCCTTTGGGACTGCTCAAACCCCTACCCATACCTGATGGCCCTGCTGAATCTGTGGCGATCGATTTCACAGATTTAGGCAAGACCACCCCTCGTGGCATGCGCTAGGTTATGGTCTGCGTGGACATGTTATCCAAATACGCAGAGTTCATCCCCTTGCCAGAGGTAGCTAGAGTCCCGACTGTGAGAGCAACCTTTTCTGAGAGGTGGGTCACTCACCATGGACCGCCCACTTCTATAGTCAGTGACCGAGACTCCAGGTTTTGCAGCGATGAGTGGCAGTCCTATTGTAAGGATTACCTGCACTCACGATTGGACATGACCTCTGGTCATCATCCTGAAGCCAATGGTCAGGCTGAGGTGATGAACCAAGTCTTATTCCAATTGTTGCGTCCTGTCATCTCTCCAGATCATCTTTACTTGGCTAGGGCAGAGCTCATGTATAACATGTTTGTCCACTCCTCGATAGGGTTCAGTCCCTACCGGTTACACTGGGGGCATGAACCACGACAGCCTCTCGATGACATCATTGATAAGGCTAAGCCTGATCTGACACCAGGCACAACAGAGTTCACCAGACGTTATCGTCTAGATGTGGAAAGAGCCCGCGCGAACTTGTTCAAAGCCCAAAAGGCTATGGTTGAGCAAGCTAATCGCCACAGACGGCCTTCCCCCATCCGCACTGGTGATCATGTCTGGGTGGCCAGTTCTGAGCTGTCGAGGGAGGAGGATATCTCCCCCAAGCTGTTGCCACGTTACCTGGGTCCATGGCAGGTCCTAGATACAGTGGGCGCTGATCCCTTCGGCCCGTCGTATGTTATCGACGTTCCGCTGCATCTACGCACCTACCCGGTCTTCCATGCATCTAAGCTGCTTCCTTTTACCCCAGCCGATGCATTCCCAGACCGACCCCCTCAATTTGGTTCACCGATCCCTGGCAAGGGATATGACGTGGAATGGATTGAGGACGAGTGGGGCACAGGCCCCGACCGGCAGTATCTTGTGAGGTTCGCATTCCAGCCTCCTTCTGAGAACAGATGGTTCTACAGAAGGGAACTTCTCAAGACAGCAAAGTCAGTTGTCCTGCGATATGAAGCGGCTCAGAAGGGAAACCTTCCTCGCCGCTCACCTCGCCTGCACCCCTAGCTCGGAGGTCTGCAATGACTTGCTGATTCTGACTGTCGAGACTGACTGCGAGGCTGTACATTAACAGCGGTAGGTTAGATTCGTAATTTTGTTTGGCTGAGGGCTAACCGAGAGATCTACCTGTAAGGAGATTCGTGAGGGACATATCTGCAAATATGGGAAAATACAGGCCCAACACTAACCCGAATTCCTACAGCTACCCTAACTGCGTATAGCAGGCCTGGGCTACCACTAGGACAGACAGGCGCTAAGGGCCTAATCTGATAGACGGTCCTATAGCCTATAGCCGGGTCCGGTAGAGGCCGAGAGGGCGAAACAGCAGCAGTACCGGTCGGTCAGTCAGTCCGGTCTAGGTCTAGGCTAGGTAGAGTAGTCTATTAATAGTTTAGGGACTTTGGTCCAGGACTTTTGGCAGTTCATTCCTCGCGCAGCAGCGTTGGAGAAGCCAAGCAAGTTGGTGGCAGTGACTGTCTGCAGGCGGCATCCTGAGACCTCGCCGTTGACAGCAACCATAGCCGGCCCATTCTGAGCCTGCCGTAGCTGGGGCATCCTCGGCGCATCTACCCCTGAGGGTATCTGCGTCTGGCCGGGCTACATCGAGGCTCTACACTGTGTACTCGTGGGTGGTGGCAGCCATAGCTGCCTGTTTGTTCGTCAGAGTTGTCCATCTACATGGAAGACTTCATCGCAGGATCTGTTCTTCATCAGGGTGGTTTGCGCTGGCCTCTGGGAGGCTATTCTGGTGTGGCGCTACTAACTGGGTGTAGGATAGAGAGTGGGGTGTGAGTTCTGAGAGTGGCGAGATACTGGAACAAACTCTGTTACGATAATTGTTTGAGTTGGCTCAACATCAGTGTCATTTCAATTGTTATCCTTGCTGGTTCTTCTTGTGATTGGTTGTTGGGAGTTTGTCAGAGAGTGAGAAACACTGTGTGCCTTCTCCCCATCTGTGCATGGTTGATTTCCGCTGCCTATTTTTATCTGTGTGAAGTTTGGACTCTGTCTCCTCTCCCCCTTCTCTTATGCATGTATGGGCATGTATGGGATTGTCTGTGTGTGAGTGGCGGTAAAATCGTCAGACAACCAAGTTCATAACACATACCTGGTGCTTGAAGCGTACGGCATTGTCTGAGATCTGCTCGTACTTCGGGGAGCTGTTGACGTCATCAGAGGCATCGTAGAGTAGGCTAGATAGGATCTGCCATCTGTAGTCTGGGCACCGAGCGCCAGATAGGATATCAACATTAGTTCTTCGTTGATGATGATGAGACTATTCCAGCATTGTCAATTATGAGCTTTTGGTGTGCTCTTATTTGGTTAAACTCGTGATGCAATTCTGCTAATGGTTCGAGGTCACGACTATCTGGTCTCATGTGTATGATGCTGTTTGATTTCTGAAGTTCGCTATTGCTCATCTTCCTTGCACTTACTCTTGAAGGATTGTCTGCTTTCTTGACCCCAAACCCGTGAACCAAAAGGCCTCAATCCTTGACTGTTGTAGACTACAAGCCCCAAGGGCCAGCCCCGCTGATCCTATGTCCAATCTTGGGCAGCCTGGTCCTGGTCACAAACATGGCCAGGTCGTTGCTTTCATAGAATGAACATAGCACCAGGCTCCACTCATGCTATGTTCATTCTTGGGGAGCATGGTCCTGGTTGCAAACATGACCAGGTTGCTGCTGTCAGCATGAACACAGCCAAACTGGTGCCAGACCCTCAACTGCAACCTTGTGAAAAGCTCTGATCCCTGATCTCAAAACAACAAGCCTTAGTTCTGCTGTGTTTCCTTCATACCCTGAGGGTCAGGCCCCGCTGATGCTATGTTCATTCTTGGGGAGCATGATCCTGGTCACATGGTGATGTGATTGCATGAACATAGGACTAGTGGGGCCAGACCCTCAACTGCAAACTTGCACAAAGCCCTGAACCCTGATCTCAAAGCAACAAGCCCTAGTTTTGCTGTGTTTCCTTCATCGCCTAAGAAAACCATCCCTGCAGTCTTCACCCGAATTGAACGCCTGGTCATTATCACTGTATATGGACTTAAATTTGCCCCAAATACAGCTATAATGGTGTTCTATTCGGATGAAAACGGTAGCTATGGTGTTTTTACAATCCTAAGCCCATAATAACTGTTGCAGTGTTTTGTATATCCCCTAAGAAAATGGCCCCTGGTATGCTTTTTTTTTGTTTCCCTTCTTTTGGTTGGTGTTGCCTTTTCTGGTGTTGTAAAACTTGCTTTTTCCACTCTGTCTTGCTGGTTGTGTAACTTTCATGTTCTTTGTTTTGTATGTTTGGCGGCGATTGGCTTAGGTAATTGATATGGCTCCTTGGCACCGAGCTTGGGAAGTCGGAAAGCTTGCGCGGAGGATAAGCGACTGCATCGAGCGTGCAAGTTTGAAGAATCGCCTAAAGAAGGGGGTCAGACTGGAGATTGACGGCGACGACGACTTGGCGTATGAGCTACCCTGGCAAGAGTATGGATCTTTTGGTGTATATGAGAATGGGACACATATGCAGCATCATGATAAGCCCTTCCACAGTCCAAGGTATAGAGCCGCCCCTGATGTAATTGTCGCAAAGGATGCGCCAGCGGCCTCCCCGTCACCCATGGCCATACATGGCAGTCCAAGACAAAAGCCCTCCCCAAGGGCTATGTCGAGCAGTCCTAGATGGAAATCTTCTACCCGTCCAACATGGAGGAGACACGAACGAAGCTCAACAGGGTACACACCCCGGTCACACAGGTCTCATCATCTGCAGACGCCTCGTCAACCGCAACTGTCTCGTCAGGCCCAAAGTCCTCATCATGTACAGACGCCTGAATCACGAACTCTTCATCAGCCGCAGACATCCCATCAAACACAGATGCTACATCAACGGCCAACACCTCGTTATCCACAGAGCTCTGGTGAACCACAGACCTCTCCTCCACCTTCAGCATGGCAACAAACACCGCCACCATCTGCAATTGTGTCTGCGAGTGGGCCATTAGACCGTCCATTGGAGCCCACAACGCCAATGTTCATCCGAACAATCCGTGATTTTGGGAAAAAACATGGCCTCCCTTCTATACTGGGGTTGCCAGGGAGAACTGATGATCGGAATGATGCCAACCCAAGGAATGATGCTCCACACGATAACGAGCCTCGGGCAGAAGGGTGGACAAGTGTGATGAGATTCGGGGAGTCCTTGTGGGGTTCCCGGACATGAGTACTAGGGTTGCTTGAGAGCTTTACTTGTAAGTTAGTTTCATCTGCTGCACAAGGTATGTATCATTGTGTGTGGTGATCTGGGCAGAAGGGCGCACAAGTGTGATGAGATTCCAAGTCTCCTTGTGGGGCACTCTCGGAAGTGAGTAGGATTACTTGTAAGTTCTTTTTGTCCTTACGTGGCACCCAGACTCGAACCGGAAACCTTACTTGGAAGCTTTATCTGGTGCACAAGCTATATATCATTGGGTGTGGTTATCTGGCCAGAAGGGCGCACAAGTGTGATGAGATTTGACGACTCCTTGTGGGGAACTATTGGAAGTCAGTAGTATGATTGTTTGAGAGCTTACTTGTAAGTTTTATCCGCTGCACGACGAGGTATGCATCATTGTGTGTGGTTATCTGGCTTCCCCTTTCTCAGCACTTGGGCTTTTTTGTTATTTAGCATACGGTCATACCAACATGGCCGGAGATCATCCTGTTCTGCTACCCTGCACTGAGTGGATGAGGCAAAAGGGCGATACTGGGCAGGTCGGCCTTGTTCTTGGACTTGGGGACTACTTGAGGTGTGAAGCCTCGTTTAAGGAGCTTGTATGCTCTTCCAATTACGGGACCAAAAACAGCCCAATATTGTTATTTATTGTCACCACCTCCATGTATCAGGATTGGGTAATTTACGTGCCTGCTGCCTTCCTTGGACTTGAGGTGTGAAGGCTACATGATGTGCAAGTTGAGTTTTTAGGATTGTGCGTTATCCTTTTTGAGGGTGCACCATTGGGCAAAGATGTATCCTGTTGGCGGTTCTGGGTCCTCGTAAACAATTAGCCTTGATATCGCCCCCTACATAGGGGGCGATGTATAGATAAGGAAACACCTACATAATATAATACCTGATGATTCAGTTGAAACTTCGACGAAGTAGTCTGTCACAGCCCCCTGTTTCTTCTCCCTTTCTTTTCTTTTTTTTTTTAAACGGGCCCAGTGCCCAAGGCTGATATTACCAAATAACATATCGAGGCCGGGGTCCTCACAGTCTACCCGTAGTAACCGAACCGAAATTGCTGAGAACCGGGCTCAGCGTCCCTCATGTGATGATGTAACTGATTGTGATAATGGTGTTACCGATGCTGATGATGATTGATATTTGTAAAAGACCCTAAACCCACAGTAACTCCTAGCCCTCCTTGCGCCAAAAACATAGTAACTCGGAGACAAATACGACCCTAACCCACGTCAGCCATAGCTGATCCCTTCTCGCCACCTAGCAGCCCCCCCAGTTCGTCCTTAGATTGCCTTCCTCCCTCGGCAACCCCAGGTCTCTCTACAAGGCCTCACGCTCCCGTGCAGGTTACAGGGCAAAGCCCCAGCTCCGGCCAGCGTCGTCCTGGCATCGACCAACCAGGGGCACAGAACAGAGCAGCTCTGCGGATGTCAGTCCGTATTCGATCATTTCTGAGCTCCCATACGCCGGATGTAAACGAAGGCTAGTTGCTACAAACATAACATCAGGAACTTATTATGATTGGATTAAGATGGAGAATAGGGATAAATCACCAGGATCCTAAAGCATGCTCAGACCTCAAATTCCCTAACAAGAAACTTTCCAACATTTCCGAACTTTGTCTCACTCCCTACCGAGCTCTTCCAGGCCTCATGCCCCCACTACCTGCTGGGATACAGGGCAACACAACTCACCCCAGCTCCGGCCAGCGCCGTCTCAGAAGCGAACCTTGGTTGTCCCTTAAGATACCCCCCCAAAGTATCCCCAGATCTCTCTACCCGGCCTCACACTCCTGTTTCAACAGGTTACAGGGCAATACCCCAGCACCGGCCTTCGCCGATCTAGCATAGAACAGCCACAGATCTCTGAGTATAACAACTTTAAGATAACGTAGGAAAGGTTGATAGACATCTCAGAGACCCAAACATACTTAGGTCCTCCTAACAGCCAAACCTATTCCCCCTGCTCTCCACTTTTACTAAAAAACCCCATCTGAAGAATTCCAGTAATCAAAAATTCGGTGAGTAACAGAAAACCACAAAGCTTGCTCTGAATTACTCCCGCGCCCTTGAAGCCCCTCACGATCCTTTCCAAGATTCCCTCTAAGCTGTCTTAACTCTTTGCCGAGCTCATCCAAGTCTCACRCCCCCATGCTGCTGGGTCACAGGGCAACGCAACTCACCCCAGCTCCGACCAGCGTCGTCCCGACAACAACCCTTGATTGTTTCGTAGAATGCCTACCCCAAAGCACTCCCAGATCTCTCTACCAGGCCTCACGCTCCTGCATCAGCAAGTTACAGGGCAGCACCCCAGCAACGGCCAGCGTCGTTCTGGCTTCAAACAATCGCGAATCACTAAGTGTAACAGCCTCAAGCCACCTCAGAAAATTTCTAAAGGTCCCCAGAGACAAAAGCAATTCAGACAACCTAAAGTACCACCCACCATCCAGCTTCTTCCCCCCTGACGCAGAGAAAGGATTTGTACCTGAGCGTCAGTCCTCGTACCAGACGCACCCGGTCTCATACCCCCCTTTACTAGAGTGACAGGGCCACACAAACTGCCCCAGTACCGACCTGGCTTGTTCTGACGGAAACAGGAAGTGTCTTCCTCCCTCGACTCCAAAGCCCCCCAAGGTTACAGGAGGAACACTGCCCCGGCTACAGCTACGTTGGGCACGGTAGTTATGCTTTCCCTACCTCAGCAAGTTCCAATGGTCTCGAGCTCCACTAGTTACAGAGCCTCTGCTACAACACCGACCACTGTTACCTCACCCTACCCTTCTATAGACACACCATTGAGCAGTTCTCTGTTTCTACATATACACATGCCTCCTTGCACCATCTTCACATGCCTCCTTGCACCATCTTCAACAGCACTTGGCAACTGTCCTTGTGGACAAAATATCTGCAATGAGCCCAGACGTGATGATACTCGTCAACATTACCAGTCCATATGATTATCGATCTGCTGACGAGTGACAAACAATCGTAATGTGTGAGATGATAGAATGAGGTGAGAATCATACACAGACGAAGGAGGAGAGAGAGGGAATAGACAAAGGAGAGAGAAGAAGACAACAGCCCACTTCTACTTCGGGTTCCTCCTCCTCCTCGCCACCTCATCAATCAATAGACCGAATACAATGTCTAAGTTCTTCCTCAAGGTGCCACGTGGCACGTCAATCTGTCTACATCAACAATGGAGAGTATCGTCATCAACCAGGTACGTATCCTCGATAACCACAGTCTTGATYYCCTTCCGAAGTGACGAAGAATCAGAACAGCCTCATCAATCTCACAGCCCGCCACATCATCAATCATATACAGGTGGCAGCGGCCACGTCAGCAACGGCGCGTGGCAGCTGCCACGTCAGCATGCCCAGAAGACCATCGCCAGCCAGCAGCGCCTTGCCGTCCTCCTCTGCCAGCATATAGCCGGCGTCAAGCCAATGTCGCAATGTCGCAGCATAGCAACAGCGTCAAGTCCACGCGTGAAGTCAGCATTCACGCAAGACTAAATGTTCTCCAGCCAGGACGTCAACTCTTAAATAGCGTGGATGCGGGGTCTGGACCCCGGGTGCTGAAGTCCTGCACCGTCCAGATCTCAATCTGAAGGAGGGCCCAGATTGGCCAGAAACTGTATTCCGCCTGCCCTGAATGCTGTCTGGGTACCTGCACACAACAAGTGAATGTATCCGACCGTAGGCCTGGGCGCGGTACCTTTGACTCTACAGTTGACTTTGACTGTTGAATTTCCTTTGTGCTGCGTTCGGTCACACAGCCTCCTCGACAGACTCAGGCTGGGCATGTCTTGGTCACATAGCCCAGCACAGTCTGTGCTTTACCGGGGGCAACGTTTTGAGCCCCGGTTTGCTGCTGAACAGGGTTACTGCATTCCTGCCGACCCATATTTCGAGTTCCATCTCAGAAACATTTAAGACTTCAACCCACGTTCATAAGCAGAGACGATATCAGGAGCAGATTCAAGGAGTTCTCTTTTACTAAACCATCTGTCCTCAGATGGTTTCTGACTTTTAAAACGAACCTTGAATTGCTTCTGGGGTCGTCCTCGTGCACCTGTAGAGAAGAACCCTTGTTCTATAATTCGGTCCACTTCATATCCACCATCCATATCTGGCGGTATCATAGATGGTCTATGAGGGCATTCATCTCCTTCTACATAAGGTAGCAACTTAGACACATGGAAGACAGAATAGGTCCTGAGATGAGGCGGTACATCAATTCTGTAAGACGGTCCCTCTACATCTCCAATTACTTTAAGAACTTCCTAGGGTCCAAAATAGACAGGCAGGAGTTTCTGAGAGACATTTTCTTCTAGTGAAAACTCTTTAGACTTGACCCAGACCAAATCACCTTCTTTGAACGTTGATGGTCGTCGATGCTTGTTAGCTTGTTCGATCATTCGGTCCTGACCTTTCTTCAAGTTCTCCTTTACCTTTTTAATGTCTTCTTGAAACAATACTGCGTATTCGCGGGTCCCTGGAGGTAACCTAAGAAACTGGTCCCTCGTCAATACATCAATGGGACGCTTAGGTTTCCACCCTTTATGCAGTGCGTTAGGTGTTCGTCCTGTAGAGGTATGAGCACTACTATTATATGCACTTGCTATCTTAGGTAAGTTCTCATCCCAATCTATTTGATCGGGTCTTACATACATGCGCAGAAGCTGTTGGCACAAACGGTTCATTTGTTCACTCTTCCCATTCGTTTCAGGGTGTCTACCTGACGACATGGCCAGACGTGTACGGTATGCCTCCATCAGCTTTTGCCATGGCATACTTGTGAATCGGGTATCTCTATCGGATACAATGGAAAAAGGGAAACCATATTCAGTCACCCATCGCATCTGAAACTTTTATATCACAAGTTCCGTTCTGGCTTTTTCRGGTAAGGGAATGAACATAGCATATTTAGAGAAACGATCCACGATCACCATCACTTGACTATTGCCATTCCGACTTTTGGTGAGACTCATGAAATCCATGGAAATAGACTCACCTGGTTCGCTTGGAATTGGTAACGGTCTGAGAAGACCAAGTGGATTCTCATGTGAGGGTTTGTTTCTCTAATACACAAGACAAGTACGAACATAAGTTAGTACATCCTCTTTCAATCCCTTCCATTCAAAACGTTCTCTAACTTCAGCGTACCTCGGCCCAGCCCCACTCTCGACTTCTGGTCGGGATGGCGGTTGGTCCGGGCACGGACAGCCCTGCGGGAGGGTCAGGGGCGGGATGTCGGGTGGTGGCGGCGGCCCTCGGCCTGCGTAC